TTAGTAACTTCAAATAAAAGTGAATCAAACTCAACAAAATTGATAGCAACTACTCTTACAAGTGCCTAGATCCTATATCATGCATTAGAACTACTTGGAACCATATAAATTTGTCATGCAAGCTCAAGAACATGGTCACTTAGGCAGCACAAATTTTCAATGAATAAAGCACTAGGACAAAAACTAATTGCACCAATGGAGGAGTCACATACCAAGGAACAATCCCCCAAAGCAGTTTTGTGAGATGTGCTTTGAGCAAGGAGATCGAAAATCGCAGCAAAATGAGCTAGAACTCGTGCTTGAGCTGGTTGGTGATTTTTTTGGGAGGAAGAAGAAGTGTGTGGGTGCAAGAATAAGTGGAGGGGAGCCAACATGGGCCCATGAGGCAGGGGGCGCGCCTAGGGGGGTGGGCGCGCCCTGGACCCTCGTGCCCAGGTGCTTGCTCCCTCTGCTGTGTTCTCAGTGCCAAATATTCTCAAATATTTCAGAAAAAATCATATTAAATTGGCAGGGCATTTGGAGGACTTTTATTTTTGGGTATTTTTATATTGCACGGATAATTCAGAAAACAGACAAAAAATACTAATTTTACTTTATTTCAACTAAATAACAGAAAGTAAAAGGAGGGTACAGAAGGTTGTGCCTTCTAACTTCATCCATCTCATGCTCATCAAAAAGAATCCACTAACAAGGTTGATCAGGTCTTGTTAACAAACTCATTCCGAATAACATGGAACTGGAGAAATTTTGAATAACACTATGTTACCTTAACGGGGATATGCACATCCCCTATAATAAGAATATCATATTTCTTCTTGACAGTAGGTAGAGGAAATTCAATATCTCCAAAAATAATCGATGGAATTTTTTTCCAATAGAATTGATACTACAACTAAACAGGGAAATAAAACCATATAAGACTAGGGAAAAGGTCTACTACAGTTTTGACACAAAAACACCAAAAGCAACAGCCAAAGCAAACACAAAGCCTAAACTAGTCAGCTACTGCATTCAAGGCAAAGATGTATCCCATGCCCTGCCTGACTTCTCAAGCTTCCAGTCTTGGCACGTTAAATCTCCACCCCTGCTCTGACTTGTAAACTTCACTTGCTACTCGTTCAAGAAGCTTTGAGCCCAGCTCCAGCTACTTTTTGCTTCGTCCTTTATCTGCAAAATAGACCATGCCATGATCCAATACGTCATCATTTGAATCAGTGTCATCGGATCAGTATAATTTTTGTTTTCAAATATAATTGCATTACGGCTTCTCCAAATAGCCCAGAAGATTGCTGACAACCCCACCAGAACTAAATTCGGTTCCGTTTTCCTGAAATTTTTGAACCAAATCCCAATGCTTTCCTCAACTGAGGTGGGAGTGGTTTTTAGACCAAAAGCACATTTTAACAAGCTCCGTAATAGCGATATAGTTGGGCATGTAAAGAATAAATGATCTATCTATTCCCCCCTACCACAAAGTACACATCCCTTAGATCCTTTACCCTCTTCTAATCAAAGAATCTTTAGTTAAAATACTTTTTTATTCATCAACCAAAGGAACACTTTGATTTTTGCAGGAACTTTTACTTTCCACTTCTTTTTAGGATAATTACAATTTTGCAGTGACCATTTTCCTATATAAGGTTTTAACTAAGATTTTTTTATCAGCAGTAAGAGTCCATTCAACTCTATCTCTGCCCTCGCCCATTTCAACCTCTCCACATCTATCTTTGAAACTATTGCAGAGCTCCAAAGTTTCTCCATACAAAGTTCTCCTAAATCTAAATCCCTGCCATCCTTCTGCAGTCAGAGTGATATTATGATCAAAGCAAAGACTGTATAACCTGGGGTAATCATCCTTTAGAGCATGATCATCAACCCAAAGATCTTCCCAAAACCTAGTACCTTTCCCATACCCCAACTTTTCGTTAGTAAATTTGCAGAAATTATCTTTGACTTTTAATAAACTGCTCCAAAATTGGGAATCTCCCTGTTTCATCTTCACTCTCGATATACATCCATCAGGGATATATTTGTCAACCAACACAGTTTGCCACAATCCTTCATCATTTTCCATTTTCCAAAACCATTTCACAAGCAAAGCTATATTCATAATTTCTAGATTTAAAATTGCCAAACCCCCACAATCTTTAGGGAGACAGCACTCCCTCCAATTTACCAAATGGTATTTCTTTTATCCTCATCTCCCTGCCGTACAGGTCTTACTCTATAGAAATCAGTTTTTTTTCTTACACCTACTGGCAAGGAATAGAAGGACATCATGAACAGGGGCGTAATAGTCATACAAGCCTGGACTAGAGAAATTCTACCAGCTATAGAGCCCAATAACCTGCCTTTTCCAACAGCTGCACCATTTTTCAATCTTATCAACCACCCCATTCCAATGTTTGTTGCTAACCCTAATATCAAACATAGTCAAGCTCAGATATTTCATGGGTAGATCTCCCATCTTACATGTAAAGATTTCCTGGTAGATTTCTTTTCTGTCATTAGCCTTGCCAAAGAGAGGCAATTCACTCTTATGAAAATTGATTTTTATCCCTGACATTTGTTCAAAAGGATACAAAATGAACTTTAAATTTTTTGCACTAGTAAAATCATCTTGCAACAGAAAAATAGTGTCATTAGCGTATTGTAACATGTTTACTCCTTTGTTATCATTACTCCAAGCACTCCTTTCACTACACCATTATCTCTTGCGTGTTTTAAAATAACAGCCATGGCATCAGCAGCCAAATCAAACAACAATGGTGACATTGCATCACCCTGCCTCAGACCTTTAAAGGTTTTAAAATACAGATATAACTCTATGATTATATCTGCTACTCTATATAATCAGTCTTAGCTAGTACCTTAACCACAACCATCTCCAAGTAATTGCAAGTTCTCTAAGCATGAAGCACATTTCACAATTCTATAGCTAACATGAGGCCAATCAAGTTTTTCTGTATCTTTGAGGCAGACCATATTGATCGTAAGAAGTGATAGCAACATAAACAAGACTTCAAAAAAGTAATCTTGGACTAGAAGGTATAAGAAGCTACCCTGTTTTGGACATGGAGTTTCTTAGCTCGGGTGAGCCCGGATTAATCAAAAAATTTGATTTGGGGGGATGGGGGGGCATTAAGAAAAAAAATCAGTGCTTGCAAAGTTTTATCTTGGAATCACATTCATGGAAATCGTGAAAAATTTGATGCTTCGAAGATGCTACTTTCGAAAGCATTTTGGAGTGATGATTTTGTCTTTTTTGCCACAACTTCCACAAATATGATATGATGATGAAACTTTGCAAGCACTTTAAACATTTATTAATGTCTGCCTCAAAACATATTCAGATTTTTTTTAATTTTTTAAATTTGTTTTGATTTTACTGTTCATGCCAAGAGCATTTGACCTTGAGCTCAGATTAGAATTTTTGCCCTGTTTGATCCAATGTTGACAAAACAAGACGAGGTATTCACATCCGAAAACCCAAAATGTATCCAGGTCATTTGGACTTAAAAAGCAAAAAACAATATAATTTTCCTTAATATATATTTTCTAGGAAAAATATACATGTACATCAATATGTCTAGCAGCATACATATGAATTTTCGTCAACATATTTAATTACTTTATTTGTGGTACATGATTATTATAATATTTTAAGGGTATTGTAGTAATGAACATACGTGCTACGTGTACATGTTAGATAATGTTGTTTGTATTACGGAGATGCAAACAGGTTATAAAAACTAATAATGCAAAGTGTATTGCTATGAATGTATTTTTCTTCCCCGTGAGTTGAAAAGAGGTGGGAAGATAAATATTGTTCAAGCGAAGTCATGTGATAATCTCGACGATTTGTTCACTAAGGCCTTACCAAATTTTTTATTACAAAAATATGTTAATGGAATTGGTATGAGATGAGACTTTGTGATTTGCAAGATTCAGGGGAAGTGTTGAAGTACAAGCATTGTGATGTGTCATTTTCTTCTTATTTTTCCACTGGGTTTTTTAAAGGAGTTTCTTTGGCATATTATGTGTATCTTCTCATATTTTTCCCATATGGTTTTGGAGGAGATAATTCCAAGTATGATCAGTCATAGGGACAGACAAGGATTAGGGGAAGTGTAAGGGTTTAATTAAGTCATAATTCTCTCTGAACTGCACATGCAGATACTTAACCGCCACGACGGTTTCTCGCATCCCCGCGATCGGACGCGCCACTGCTTTGCGTCCGTTCTAGTTGTATATTTATTTACTGTTTATGGATGGAATATATGAGTTTTATCTGTTCATTCACTTTTATAACAGTTATTCCGGTTGTTGGTGCATGTATTAGCATGTGCTTGTACGGATTAAGGACTTTGTATTATTTTGTGATTGAATACAACCGTATACTTCCTAAAAAATGGTAGAGTCCGACATGCTGGTCGCTGGCCGTGTTAATAAATCCTTCGTCCCCTGCAATTCCGCCGAGGCTTACATGCATGCACAATATGCTCTTTCAGTTGCCGCATGCATTAATCAGGTTGATTCAATTCCTAGATTGAAACGGCTAACTAAGCATGCAAGATTGAATTAAGTGCCTCCACAAATTGCTTGCATGTGGCCTAACAATGAATTGGACGTGGCTGTTCTCCTGCCCCGGAAATTAGGCACCGTTGAATTATAAATTCTTTTTTTGAGGACTTTGAATTATAAATTCGAACTCGCCCATGGAACAAATTTGAATTATACTACATGGTGCATGGAAGGATTTTGAATTTGAATTAGACCTGGTCTCCGGCTGGGCTACTCGTCCCATCCCATGTCGATATGTTTGGTTTGCAATAAATTACCAAATACTACTCCTAGATGTCTCGTCCCTCAACAGTATAAATACCAAATAGATGTCTCGTTCGCTTGGTCTTGGCCTTCTTCTTTTGATCTCTACCTGTGTTTGCGCATCGTCTCTTCCCAACTCCCCGTAGCTTGAGGGGCCGCTGTCGCTCATCGCAATGGGCACGGAGACGATCGTCACCGACGTGGCCTTCGAGGACGACGTCATCACCACCACCGTCACGTCCTCCGGCGACGCCGTCGTGGCCTGGCTCCGCAAGATCCGGTACGCCTACCGCTGGGTGTACCACAAGCTCATCGTGGGGCTGGACGTGGAGTGGCGCCCCAGCTTCGGCCCCGCGCACAACCGCGTCGCGCTCCTGCAGCTGTGCGTCGGCCGCCGCTGCCTCGTCTTCCAGCTTCTCCACGCCGACTACATCCCGCGGGCCCTCGAGAGCTTCCTCGCCGATCGGGACTTCCGGTTCGTCGGCGTGGGCGTGCAGGACGACGCCAACCGCCTCAGCAACGACCACGGCCTTGTGGTCAACAACACCGTCGACCTGCGCGGCCTCGCGGCCGAGGAGCTGCGCGATCTGTCGCTCCACCAGGCCGGGCTTAAGGTCGTCGCGGGGATCGTCATGGGGGCCAACCTCAACAAGCCACAGCGTGTGAGGACGGGAGCATGGGACGCCTACCGCCTCTCCCACGAGCAGATCAAGTACGCCTGCATCGACGCGTTCGTGTCCTTCGAGGTCGGCCGGAAGCTCCTCACCGGTGACTACTCCTGCTCCTCCTCAGAGGAAGAAGAGGAGGAGGAGGAACAAGATGACTCCTACTACTCCTCCGATGAGTATGGCTCCTCTGAGGAGGACTACTGAGGTGATCGATGGCCGTCTTCCCGTGTCCTGCACAGGGAATTCGACCAGCTCCAAGCAAGTACTAGTGCATGCGTTTAGACTTACTAGTTGTTGATCTCGTAAGGTTAAGCAGTGGATGGTTTATTAGGAGTTTACCTGCCATCATGGCAGCTTCTTGTGGCTAGATCTAGCTTGGTACCATGGCAACTTGTGCTACTTGTTTATATTATTATTATGCACCTCTATATATAAATGTTGTTTCTCAGTGGAGTTTTTTTTTTCGAAAAAGAGGTTATCCCTGGCCTCTGCATCAAGAACGATGCATGCGGCCATCTTATTAATAAGTAAAAGGTTCAACAAAGTCTCCAGGTCTCAAAAATGTAAAATGGCTCACAAAGAGCAAGAAGAACATGAAACATGATAGCTAAAATTGGGGAGAATTTCACTTTCCCGGCCTCTGCACCAATTAGGGATGCATACGGCCATTTTAGTATGAGTACCAAGATAAACATGGTCTTTAAATTTTTTTAATGAGTATTAAGATATTTTTTGATGGATGGTTCCACCACACACCAAGCTTGATCCTCAGTAAATGGAGGAAAACCTCTGTACATCACCTGTTAATTCTAGGAATTAAACTAGGGTCGTTAGGCTGCACAACCGCATGCCCAACCACTAAGCCTGCATAACCGCATGCCCAACCATTGAGCCAAAGCTCAGTGGAGTAGTACCATCAATTTCGATTTCTTGCAATTAACATGTCTGAGGATTGTGGGGATGGCCCTCCCGAGTCGTTGCTGCAAGCAATATCTAAGCTAAATAGCTAATTAGGTAGTGCGTTAAGGTTGTTTAGTAATAGGAGTTTATCATTTGTGTTGAAGAATCAGCCAGACATTCGTGATGATGAGGAGTTGAGGACTGCTTTCTTCTAAAGAGGTGATGGCCAACTGGCCATGGCAACTCCTTCTGCTAGAGCTTTTCGATATAAATATCTACCATTGTTAGCTTTGATCTTGACGGGTGCTCGACTACATCATCATCTATAAAAGTGCAACGGGACTAAACACACCCGTTGTCATGTCAGTCTCGCTGAGATAGATTTGGGATATGGGTGGAGGAGCAACAAACCATTAGAGCATGGTTAATAGTATAGCCAGCTGCTCGCTATATGATGTTGGCATATCATCTATAGCTAATATTATAGCCGGTAAATACAATAGTTAGATATAAATATAAAGCTCTCTTACGGTGATTGGCGTAGTATTGGGAGTACTACGGATTAAAATGAATAAATTTAATTTGTTTAATCCGAGAAGGGCATAATGGTCTAGGGCAAAATATTGTGCGTTCAACCGATCACGTCCGCGACTAGAACCATGTCTAGTCGATCCAGGAGGTCAAGTCCTCGTTCTCGTGCCCCTCCTTGTCTCCGTCGTGCCCGACGAGAGGAACCAATTCACCGTCGTCGGACACCTGCTCATCCCCTTCACTGTCCTCGACGTGCCCGGCGGTAAGAAGAAAAATAAGGCATCACATATGCGGCGGCTATGTCGACGGCAACGGTGGTGGCGCTATAGGACCTCGCCCCCGGCCGATCCCATATCGCTTCCCAACTGGCATCCTAAGGTATGAATCGCCTGAATCTCACTTGGCTTGGATTTGTAGCCTGCACTTCCTACATAGATTAGTTTAGTCATCATCGATATAGGTTTCCCTAGTGCATGCAATTCAATTTAGAATTTTTCATCATCCATGGTCAGTTCACTAGTTTATGGACGTTGATGATTGCTTGGTAGAACATGTACAAGGAGCAAAGTTTAAAATTCCACACAAGATTTCGTACTGGCTTTTGCATGCATTTGTGTTTGTCGTTTGAGCTTTTTCATCTGAATGGTGATGCAAGAAGACATGGCGGATGTAAGTGATGAGTCCATGTTCGAGTACTATCATATTGCCAACAAGATGTTTGATAGTGAGGATGAAGGGTATAGATTCTATAACAAATATGGTCTTGAGAAAGGTTTTAGTGTTTGGAGAAGCTATGTTGAGTGGGATGGATCTGACAGCCATATAATTTTAAGGAAAATTGTGTGTAGTCGTGAAGGGGTTTGTGAAGAGAAGCACATGAAGAGGAAGATGGAAGATAGAAAGAGGAGGCCACACAGCATAACTCGTGTACTGCGTAAAGCTAAATTGGTGATTGCAAGACAGGAGGAAACAAGTCGGTGGTTTGTGAAGGATTTCATCGATGAACACAACCATCCTCTAGCCCCACGGGATATTTCTTGTCTTTTGCGTTCACACAGAAGAATTAGCGATGAGCACAAAGCGGACATTGCAGACATGGAAAAATCTTGGATCAGGAAACACCATATTATGGATATTTTGTGCATGCAATACGGTGGATATGATGAGGTTGGATGCACGAGGTGGGACATTTACAATTTTTGCCATGCTAACAAGCAGGAATCAATCGCTTCCGATGATGCTCAAACGGTGATCAATCACATGGTGGCGCGGCGAGAGCGAGATTCAAATTTTTTTCTTCAGGTACTTGGTTGATGAAGTTGGCCATGTGAAGGGACTGTTTTGGTGTGATAGTCAATCCCAACTTAACTATGAGGCTTTCGGAGACATTATTGTTTTTTATAGCACATACAGAACCAATACATACAATCTATCATTTGTGCCGTTTGTCGAGGCTTATTTCCATTTTGTGAACTTTTTGAATTCGTGAACTTGTTCAAGTCACATACTTTTTTTGAATTCATGAACTTTTTTGAATACATGAACTTTTTTGAATCGTGAACATTTTTCTATTCGCAAAATTTTGAATGTTCATAAACTTTTCTTGATATTGGTGAACTTTTCAAATTAGGGAACTTTTTCTGAACGGTCAATGGATCAAATCAACGGTCGTGGGGTGAAGCCAACATATCAAATCAAGTTCCTGCAAAAAAAAAATATCAGACAAACCCACGGCAGGGGAGACCCGAGCGAGCCACCAGCTTGCGTTCATGAGCCGAGCAACGAGACACTGCAGTTAGCGCTAGCTGCCTTCCGGGCGCTAAAGGTATCGAATGAGAACAATATCACGAGAACAATATCACACTTACTGCAAGACGGATCAACCAATCACCTATAGCGCATGTCCGAATGGACCAGCCCAACATCGATTCTGTGTGGTTTTGAGAAGCTTCTAGGCACATCAGTGACTGGTTTTAGGAAGCTTCCATGTGGTTTTCGTAAGGTTCCATTTGGTATTTCTTTTGTTCCTTTCTTCAATCAGTATTCTTTCGGATTTTCTATTTTAGTTTTTCTCCTTATTTCATTTTCTATTTTTTGAAATACAGTTGACTTTTTTAATACACGTTGAACATTTTTTGTATATAGGTTCTACATATTTTGATACACATCGAACATTCTTTTTTTTTCCGGAAAATTTTCGATGTAACGGAAATTTTACGATGAAAAATGGAAGGAATCTTTTGGAACAACAGTGGTCTGGTAACCTTGGCTAAAAGAAGATTCCTTGCGAAAGCATCTTTAGAATATAAGTTGGACTTTATTGCCTTACTTGAGACGGGTAAGGATAATTTTACATCACAATTTCTTAACACCATATCTGGTGCTGTTGACTTTGATAGGCACTGTCTACCCCCAATAGGAAGATCCAACGGGATTTTACTTGGGGTCAAGTGCGAGACGCTAGAAGTACTGAATGTTGTGCTTGGCGACTTTGCTGTGAAATTCAGGGTGCTCGAAAGTTGATGGGTTCCGATGGGCGCTAGTTGTCGTGTATGGAGCCGCACAACCAGATCTCAAGACGGAATTCCTAGTCGACCTTGTGCAGGTTTGCGGGGACGAGAGGCTACCTATCTTGGTTGGAGGTCATTTGAACATCATTAGAAGGAGAGAAGAAAAGAATAATGATAACTTCGATGGCAGATGGTCATTCATATTTAATACCATTATCGAAAAGTCTGGACCCGGGGGAGATAGACCTCATAGGCAGACAGTTCACTTGGGTCCAACCTGCGAGAAGTTGGATCGAGTTCTCATCAGTATTGAGTGGGAACATAAGTTTTCTTTGATGATGGTGCAAGCTTTACACAGAGGAATTTCTTATCACGCTCCTTTCCTTGTTGACTATGGGGAAGCGACCCATGTGGGAAACAAGAACGTCTTCTCTTTCAAACTAGTATGTTTTGAGAGAGAGGGCTTCATTGATCTAATATCCTGGGAATGGGCTAAGGGCACATGAGGGAGGTCGAATATTGAGCGATGGCAAAATAAGATAATGCATTTGCGGCAGTTTTTGAGGGGCTGGGCTAAAAATGGAAGCGGGATTTATAAGGTGGAAAAAGATAAGTACTTCCTGATCTTACATACACTTGGGCCGACGCACCTAGATCCTTTCTAGTGCCTTTCTATTTTTTTTGTTTATTCTTTCATTTTTCTGCCTCTTCATTTTCATTCTTTCCTTTCATTTTTTTCATTTCTTTTCTGATTTTTGTTTTTTCATTGGCGGCTTTCATTTTATTTTATTTCCCATTTTACATTATTTTTTACTTTTTTCCATTAACTTATAACAAATACGCGGACATTGTTTTAAATCATGAACCTTTTCCGAATATGTCAACATTTTATGAAATTTTGAACATTTGTTTTGAACTCATCAACATTTTGTTACGAGTCGACAAACATTTTTTAAATTTGTGGCAATAATTTGTTAAATTCATGAACATTTTTTTGTATTGATGATCATTTTGTGAAATGCGTGAACAGTTTTCATATTAGTGAACATTGTTTGAATATTTGAACATTATTTAAAAATCAGAATAATTTTCTAATTCGCAAACACTTTTTGTAGTTTTTAGACATTTTTTAAAATTTTGATGAACATTTTTTTAAAATTCTGATGAATATTTCCTGTATGCGCAAACATATGTTCAAATTCACAAACAACTTTTTGATTTGCAAACATTTTTCAGACTCATGAGTTTTTTGCGTTTCCAGAT